TATGTATGTATGTATGTTTATGTATGTATATGTATGTATGTATGTATGTATGTATGTATGTATGTATGTACACACTCAGTTAAAAATGAGCACCTTCTAAAGGAACAGTAACTTACAGACATGTACAAAAGCGACTTTAGAATTGCTTGGACTGCAGGTTCGGCGAGAAGCGCGCGCGAGAAGCAGAATGAAGAGTGCCCCTTGGTGCAGGGTTTAGGGTTTACACTGTTTCACGTTTGAGCCTCGCCGGGTACTGAAGAGAGATGGGTGCATTTGGTACATGACAGTTGCATGCACTTGCTGCATGAAGGCATGCGCTACGTGCCGGTCGCTGCGCGTGATTTGCCACATGTCGTTAGTTTGGGTCGTGGCTGGTAGGGTTGGGCCATGTTGTGCCATCCCAATAGAAATAACACCGCGAAACACCATCATTGCAACCATCGCAGCTTATAAAGCTTGCTGAGATTGGCCCTACAGACCTGACAAGCTTCCGCACTCCGGCCCCCGAAACACAACACTAGCTAGGAGTGTGGTAGCCATTAGTCCAGTTGCTATAAAATCATTGCCGCTGCATGGCGGACGCTCGGGAGCATGACCTGCCGCAATTCCCGAGCGAATTGCGCTACTTCTTGAACTACCGCCTCCAAGAGCTAGAGGATGGAGTGGGCCAGGTGCTAACAAGTGGGGAATTGGCTTTGCTAGTCGCAGCTACCCGCCGAGCCCAAGCAGTAACGGAGGCTGCACCGGCTCCCGCTACCAAGGTGGAAGCCTCTTACGAAGACGACCAGCTGCTAAGTGACGAGCAGTCGCGCATGCTATTCCTGCATTTCAGGGATGATGCGCTGGAGGCGGAGGTGGCTGACTATGACGGATATGGCTGCTATGGAGGAGCGCGACCGACTGGAGAATGCTAGGTGCGAGGCGCAGGCCGAGGCGAGGTCCAGAGAGCACATATCCTGCCCGGAGTTGGAGGAGCAAGGCAGGGCTAGCAAGAAAGCAAAGATAGAGCTGAAGGAGGCGCTGGAAGCATCGCGCCGGCTACAAATGAACGATGGGGTGGTCGAGGGTGCTAACAGCCATGGTAGCACTGACGGGCCAGCGAAGCAACCTGGGCTGACCCAGCCTTCTGGACTCGCTAGCACGTCACCAAGGCGGACATGGAGCGAGTTGCTAAACGTGTCAAGCCACTTCGTCCAGAGTGTTGGGACATGAGCTACGCGGATGCAAGGCGCCTCAATAGTGCCGCTAAAGGTTCAGCTAAAGCGCTAAGGGGCCAAGGTGTGCCAGTAGAGCTATGCGAGCCACCGCCGGCCGAAGCCGTCGCTACGGCCATGCCGAAAGGCACATCTAGCCATTTGCTAGATCTCACATGGCACCGGATTCCGCCACAGATGTGGCCGCTAGGGAGCCATCCGCGGGGCCAGGAGCCGCTCGCTAAAGGCTTCGGCAAGAACGCTCAGCACGAGATCAAGTTGGCTAACATCATACGAGAGAGCGACCTCTGTGGGCTAACTGATGCAGACCGCCGCTTGGTCTGCAAGCTAAACCCGCCTCCGCTACGAGACCGGCGCGCCGAGGAGTTGCTACACATGGTCGGTCACAATCGCTACGTCGAGTGCCAGTTCAACACTCTCGGCTACGGAAGGTGGGATGGCTACACAGGGATTTTCCGCTGCGTTGTGGTGTGTCCACGGTGTGGAGCTAAGGCCTGCAATCGCAGAATGTGGTGGTTGCTAGATACGCACTCGGCGCATTACTGCGACTGCAAGAGGGCCAAGCGCCGTTAGCCGCTCGCGCCGCTACCGTAACTAGCGCTACCGGGCTACCACGCCAGATGCTACACACAGACACGCTAGTCCGCCACAGCGTCCGGGCAAAGCACACGCTACAGTGCAGCTTGCAAGCGCTCAGCATGTACAGTCGCTATAGCGCCGGCAGCCCATGTCCTTCCACTGGGAGACAAAATCAAGTTCGGTCGGAGGGCTACCACCCTGGGTTTCTGCTTCAGAGATTTCGGCACTCGTGACGTGTCAGTGCAAGCAAGGAGTGGGCTGACGGCTTTAAGATGCAACGTTCAGCTTGATTGGCTTAAGCTACCTTGAGGAGTAAGCCATGCCAGAAGCCTAATTATGTTGATCATGCATGCCACCGTGCCTGAAATTTCAGCTTTACACCCAAAGCACCGCAACCCGACACTCCCCTGCTGCCCGAAACAAAACCTTGCATTCAAGCACCAGCTTGAGCGTGCACTCCGTCGAAGGGGACAAGTCAGGTTTTCGGTTTACACTTGTGAGTCGGCTTGCCTAGGCAGACACGCTACCCGATGTTAAACGTGCATAACTATGACCGACATGCTTAGGCAAACACTTTCCGGCAACCCGAGATCCCTAGGCCCCTAGCCCGTCAGTTTCTCAAGCCGAACGGCCAGAGACGTTACATGCTTCCACCCCGTAAATTTGAAAGCGTAAGCCCCGAAACCCAGATTGGCGCCCGTAATCCGTAAACAACGAATAGCCAAAACCGGTCAAGCCTGTGCTCTTGTTTGTATCTCCGTGTCATCCGCTTCCCGCCAGGTACATTATCCAAACACAGAAGGTGGGCTCGCGAGAGGTTGTTTGCCTTTTTGGGTGAACTTGAACGGTTTAACCCTAAACCCCCTACCCTTACGTAAGCCCTTATCCCGAAGCCTTAATCCCTAAACTGACGGCAGGTTGCTGGGAAATGAGTGCAAGTATTGCAATTGATACTTGGACGGGAAAATAACCAAAGTGCTGAGCCGACAGCCTAAGTTGCCTATATCCCCATATTTTAATATAGCAAACGGACATAGTAGCATTATCCCGCTGTAGCCGTTGTTATGGTCATAGCATAATCGGCGTCGGAAACCTAATCGGATTATATATGTCGCTGTGTTGAACTGCAAAAGTCCGTTTGCCATGATATTTCGGCCGCGTAATGCCACTTCCACCTGCCACATCTGAAAACATCGTAGAAATCATTAGCTTAAGCATTAGCATGTCCATCAGACGTAGAAGACCCCTCGATGAGAAACCAAACATTGCCAGCCATGTTGCGTAGCCCAGATCATGCTTAGGATTTTATGGTATGGTTTGTGAAGTAATGCATAGTTGGGACAGGCTTGGGTTTAGTCTTACGAGAAGGTGTTGTTCATCTGCTCCCATGGTGGCGAGGTGGACCCGACGAAGCTTCCGAAATTGGACACGAAGATGCACAGCCTGGAGAAGGTCGGAGATCATGCGCGAAGGATTTCAGGGGTTTGGATGGTTTAATGATTGCTATTCCTTGTGGGCTAGCGTACGTTAAAGATGACCATACAGTAACAGTAGTAATACCAGGTATTAAACCCTCTTCCAATTATTGAGGCTCCTATAAGGTTTTAGTGGTTCGGGGTTTAGGTTTTCATGCTTCGGACATGCAACAATGCATAGCTATTTAATTTCGATTGTCCTTTCGAAATTGGAAATTCAGTGCCTCATCTAATGTCTGCTTGTGGAGGCCTGACGCTACCAATGTAGTCCTTGTTGTTTGGCTAGCGGCTAGCGCGTTAAATCAATCTGCGAAACAAATGCAACTGAAGTGTAAAGTGGCTGCAAACGTAAATGCAAGCCAACTCTAAAAAGCTTTGTCAACAGTGAAAGATAGCTCCGAGCGGCGTCAAAGTGTGCGAAATTAGTTCAAACAAGCTAGCGGGCCGCGTAAGCTCCGCGCAGGGTTCTCCCATGAGAATTGCAGTATACCAATAAAGTTTCAACAAAAATGTAAACATGTGTGAAACAAGTGTAAATTTCAAAGCCTTTCAACATCCCTCAATATAGTCAGTAACCCTTACAGCAACACCTATCATACCCTGACAGGTAGACTCGCAAAAATCCTCCCAACCCTGATCTGCTGACCACGGAGGATGGCGAAACAGTTCGCATGCCTTCCCAGACACTCACTGCGCAGTTTGCAGGGATTCCGAAGGGGGTTGATTTAGTGTAGCGGCTTGAAGAAGCAGAGCAGGTTGCTGGTATGTTTTGGAGTATCTTATAGTAGCAGAACAATGAGGCAAACCCTATCACAACTGGGCTCCGTATATTCGGAATGTAGGTTGAGGATTTGTAAGGGGGTTTGTAGCGTGTTATAAGGGGCTTCGACGGGTGTTACTCTAAGCCTCTTGAGCATGCTTTTTCTGTTGTTGCTTTCTTTGGGTTTATGGGTGTCTCAGAATGGATCTCCAAAAAAGATAGTAGTTTTGCTTATCTGCCATCGGGCATAGAGCATTGAAGACCGAAGGTTCGGAGCTTCCACGTAGGATTCTATGAGGGGGTTTTAGGGTATTTCCAGGGTCGACGGTTCGTGCTGCTCAGAACTTGATTCTGGCGGTCATCTTTTAGTATCATAGAAGGGGGTTCCGTGTTTGGGAACTCTGTTTGGGGAGATGCCGTTCTGCTACGGAGGATACAATCTTTTGCATCCTCGCTTGGCACTTGGGATCCCGGCATTAGGTGGGCTGTCTATCAGTTCGCTTCAGTGTTAGATGTGAGAGTTTCCGAAAATGAGGGGTACCTTCTTTTGGGCTCCTTACAACAAGGATCCTACTACTTAGGCTACTATATTGGGGTCCCGTATTTTAGGAAAATCCCATGTCTCGGACGGCCGAAAACAGAAAGAGCACATCCTAGGGGTGGGTAGCTGGTACAGGCATATTACTACTGCCACGGAGTAGCAAACAGCAGAAGATGGAGACATCTTCAATAGAGAACGGGTTTCATGTAAACGCTTGACAGACTAACTTCATCGATTGCTGCAGTCGGCAGTAGTAGTCGTAGTAGTCGTAGTAGTCGTCGTCGTCATAGTGGTAGTGGTAGCGGTAGTGGTATATAGTTCTAGTACCGGTGCTGGCGCTGTCGACGGCTACGGCGGTTGTGGTGGTGATGGTGATGGTGGCGGTGGTGATGATGGTGCTAGTGCCAGTGCGATTGCTGGTGCTACTGCTGGTGCTACTGCCAGCGCCAGTGCCAGTGCCAGTGCCAGTGCCAGTGCCAGTGCCAGCGCCAGTGCCAGTGCCAGTGCCAGTGCCAGTGCCAGTGCCAGTGCCAGTAGTAGTAGTAGTAGTAGTAGTAGTAGTAGTAGTAGAAGGAGTAGGTCCTCGTCGTGGCGGCGGCCGTGGTCATGATCGGGGTCGTTGTTGTTGTCGTTTTGCCAAGACATATGATAGCAGCGAACACATCGAACACCACAGCGAAAATGCCTGTCATGTAAGGCTTACTCATGACTAGTCGACCCTTGGGCAAATGCGCCGTCTGTCTCGAGGACCAACGTTTGCCCGCTGCAGCTGTGGGAAGTTTATCTCGCCCATCACGCCTCGCTTGGATTAGAACCACACATTGGGTCTAGAGCCGCGGCCCTTCTTGTTGTTTGAGGGGTTCAGGGACCATTGAATAAACGTGTTGGTGTATGAAACTTTTTGTTGAGCCCCAAGGTTCCTAAGGTTCACCTTTCCGGTATTGTCAGGTTCAAAGCATCCCGTCCGGTCATGAAGGCATCGGATCTAGCTACGCGCTTTCGAAACTTGAAGAATTGAGCGCCAAGGCACATCGACAAGCCCGAAAACTTTCCCTGTTTCGGGTTCAAGGTTGGGAAACACCCACACAAACCTTTAACACTGTCTTTAAATACCTCTGAACCCTAAACCCTAAACCCTAAACCCTAAACCCCTAAACCCTAAAACTTGGGCCACACCCCCAAACCAAGGCCTTAAGCTCAACCTCCTCACCCCCAAGGCCTCAGCCCGACTTCTCAGCAAAGCACAGCACTGCATGTTCGACAAGACCTCTAGGCTCTGGAGTACTTTGTTGTGAATCTTTTTTGTTCAAGTCTATTTCTTTCTTTTGAAAGGATCCCCAAAAGT